TGCTAATGAAAGGTATGTTGAAACCTTCATTTGACAATCCAGGGGTATTTTTGAAGAACCAGAGTCAAATAATTCTTTTTTTATATTAATTATTTTTAATTTGGCAATGTTTTTACTACAAAAATAGTTGTACTCATAATGGGAGGTTCATCTCCTCTTTCATACCATATAACTAAATAGAAACATTTTTGTAAATATGTTGTTTTATCTCATTTGTACGTTTGCAAATTTTTGTAAAGCATTGGATGAAAGCATGAGCAAAAAAAAAAACAATTCACTTTTTTTTTAAAATAATACCAAGCGATAAAAAGGCTTAAAAGTATTAAACTATAGTGATTGGTAAACGTTAGTAACCAGTTTTCTGACAATCATGCCAACATTACCTCTTACAGATACAATAAATGAAAGTAGAGAGTAATATCTGAAACTTAAAACAAAGAGATGTTGTTATAGCTTTGATTAAATGAGTTAATTAAGTTCTTACTGTTGTGTCATTACAAAGTCACACATTTTGTTTTCACTTTCTTTTGTCCTATATATTGATATTAATCTACACAGTTATCGTACACAAAGAATAGCAGGCTAACTACTTTACAACAAGAGTAACAAAAGAATTAGCAACAGATGAAAATGGCTGGTGGTGAGCTTGAAGTCAGATAACTAGGTTACTCAAGATCTACCTGAAACTTGAATTCAGATTAGCAGAGTATTATATTAAACAAGGGTTCTGGCTTGCAGTGTTTTACAATAAACACTGGTTTTAGTTAGTAGTTCTACGTTAAACACTGGTTTTAGTTAGTAGTTTTATATTAAACACTGGTTTTTAGTTAGTAGTTCTACGTTAAACACTGGTTTTAATTAGTAGTTTTATATTAAACACTGGTTTTAATTAGTAGTTCTATATTAAACACTGGTTTTAGTTAGTAGTTCTACGTTAAACACTGGTTCCAGTTAGTAGTTCTACGTTAAACACTGGATCCAGTTAGTAGTTCTATGTTGAACACTGGATCCAGTTAGTAGTTCTATGTTGAACACTGGATCCAGTTAGTTGTTCAACGTTAAACATTAGTTTTAATTAGTAGTTCTACATTGAACACTGGTTCCAGTTAGTAGTTCTATGTTAATCACTGGTTTTAGTTAGTAGTTTTACGTTAAACACTGGTTTTAGTTAGTAGTTCTACGTTAAACACTGGTTTTAGTTAGTAGTTTTACGTTAAACACTGGTTTTAGTTAGTAGTTCTACGTTAAACACTGGTTTTAGTTAGTAGTTTTACGTTAAACACTGGTTTTAGTTAGTAGTTCTACGTTAAACACTGGTTTTAGTTAGTAGTTCTACGTTAAACACTGGTTTTAGTTAGTAGTTCTACGTTAAACACTGGTTTTAGTTAGTAGTTCTACGTTAAATACTGGTTTTAGTTAGTAGTTCTACGTTAAAAACTGGTTTTAGTATTTCTACATTAAACATTGGTTCCAGTTAGTATTTCTACATTAAACACTGGTTCTAGTTAGTAGTTCTACGTTAAACACTGGTTCCAGTTAGTAGTTCTATGTTGAATACTGGTTCCAGTTAGTAGTTCTACGTTAAATACTGGTTCCAGTTAGTAGTTCTACGTTAAACACTGGTTTTAGGGTTAATCGAGGTATTGATTAAAGATAACAGCAGTTTAATAAAGAATATTTTGAGGCTAGAATACATAAAAGGTCATGGTGTAGGCAACATAATTTAATACTTTAAAAATCCTCAACTTTAGAATCATGTATATGTTTACCACATTATTTTTGAATCAATAAACATTTGTACAGAAAACCAAAAGACATGACAAACACACAAGTTTTATTCTTCGTTCTCAGTAGTCACCTTTCAAGCCATTCCTTAATGATCTTTTTACAGGAATATCATGGCCAAATAAAATGCTCAGCTCATCTTCTAATTCATATCATATTCCTTCAATAAGGTATTGCAGATAACCAATCTTTGTATTTCACTAGTTCCTTCATAAATCTCAGTGACACGAGCATCCCTGTAATATCGTTCTGCTGGCATATCCGACACATATCCCATTCCTCCAAGGATCTGAACAGCCTAAATAAAAAAATCAAATTGTCATTCATTATCAACTGAACCTTTAAATGATCATTATATGCAGGTGCTTTAATATATGACTGATGTTAAAGAACAAACCTTTATATAAGTAAACTTTAGTGCAAGTAGAAATAGTATTATTATGAAACTTTTAACACTGTACTGTCACTAGTACCATATAGTAAGAAATTTAAAACTTAAATTCTAACTTGTTGGATTATTTTTCTAAATATGAGAAATACTGTGAATTCAAGAGATGGTAGGCATCTGGTTAAAAAGAAAAGGAAAAAATGTGTAAATAAAAAGACCCGAGCGTGCGTAAATAAAGACCCGAGCATGCATAAATAAAGACCCAAGCGTGCGTGCGTAAATAAAGACCCGAGCATGCGTGCGTAAATAAAGACCCGAGCATGCGTAAATAAAGACCTGAGCATGCGTAAATAAAGACCCGAGCGTGCGTAAATATCACACAACCTCTCTCACAATACTCCTGCTAACACACAATAAGCAGGAGTATTGTGACCGAGATTGTGTTAGCAGGAGTATTGTGACAGAGGTTGTGTTTTAGCAGGAGTATTGTACAGAGATTGTGTTTTAGCAGGAGTATCGTGACAGAGATTGTGTTTTAGCAGGAGTATCGTGACAGAGATTGTGTTTTAGCAGGAGTATCGTGACAGAGATTGTGTTTTAGCAGGAGTATTGTGACAGAGGTTGTGTGTTAGCA